ACTCCAAACATTCTCATCCGAACGTCCCTGACGGCCGCGCCGTTGAAACAACATCACCAAACGGTTTAGCCGCGCACGACAATCGAGCACGAAGCCCTCTCGCCCCGCACGGACAAACAGTGCGTAGAAGATATTGGTCGCGGAACAAACCGCGTAAAACAGATGGTGCCTAACATTGCGCGAACAATGCGAGACGACTGTCACAACGTGCAGAAACTTGAAAAAAACAAGTCGGCGTTTCTGCTCGAGTTTAAAAACACACCCTGAATCGAATATGCTCAAGAGCAAAGCCCAAGAGCGCAATATGCATTCAAAAACATGGTACTCATAATATCTGTAATTCGTACTTATTATCGCAATTCACTGCGTTCTTCATCGACCCGCGAGCCAAGTGATCCACCGGAGTAACTTAAAGCTCTTTTCCAACAAAATAAATGTAAAATGAATGTTTTGTCAGGGCAGCCTCTCGGGCTTTTCAATCCTACGCTCGCCAGAACGAATCGGCAAGCAGCTGGCTGGTCTCATCTGTCGGCACGGTAAAACGCCAACTCAACAACAGCACGTAGAAACCCAGACTTCACCGTTGCACGGTCGCCTCTCGGCTTCCATGCGAACCATCAGTAGGCGGAACGACGCGAATCGAACCGCCATCATGCGCGGCAACCGAAGTCACCAATCGCATCATCGTGACGAGCACGAATAAATGTGTCATAGGATCGGTAATGATCCAGCCGAAGGTTCACCTACGGCTACCTTGTTACGACTTTTGCCCGGTTCAAGCCACTGCGATTAAACTAGTTCTCACCAAAGACAATGCCGAAACATCGAACTCCAGCGATCCCTAGTTTTCTCGAAGTAACTCAGTCCCGGGCAGCGACGGGCGGTGTGTACAAAGGGCAGGGACGTAATCAATGCAAGTTAATGACTCACATTTACTTGGAATTCCTCGTTCATGAGAGAAAATTTCAACACTCAATTCCAGCCATAATAATATCTCAACTGTTTGCCAATTCCTGTCGGAAAAGGACAATCACGCTGTTACCACCATTGTAGCACGCGTGCGGCCCCGAACATCTAAGGGCATCACAGACCTGTTATTGCTCAATTTCTTGAGGTTGAAAACCACAAATTCCTTTAAGAAGTGATCACACGCAGCCGAAGCAACATGCGCACTATTTAATAGTTAAAGTCTCGTTCGTTATCGGAATAAACCAGACAAATCAATCCACGAACTAAGAACGGCCATGCACCACCATTCACCGAATCATGAAAGAGCTGTCAGTCTGTCAATCCTTACGATGTACTGGCCGGGTGAGATTTCCCGTGTTGAGTCAAATTAAGCCGCAAGCTCCACTCCTGGTGGTGCCCTTCCGTCAATTCCTTTAAGTTTCAGCTTTGCAACCATACTTCCCCCGAAACCGAAAAACTTTCGTTTCCGGAAATCTCCCCGCTCATGAATAAAATCCACAAGCGGATCGACAGTTGGCATCGTTTACGGTCAGAACTAGAGCGGTATCTAATCGCCTTCGAACCTCTGACTTTCGTTCTTGATTAATGAAAACACTCTTGGCAAATGCCTTCGCTGTAGGACGTCTCGCTACGGTCCACGAATTTCACCTCTCGCGCAGCGATACGAATGCCCCCGGCTGTTCCTGTTAACCATTGTTTTAGCCGACAAAACCAATAAAACTCAGCCACAACCTTGTTCCATTATTCCATGCACCGGTATTCAGTCATAAGACTTGCTTTAAGCACTTGAGCCGTTCAAAGTAATCCTGCATGCATCATGAACGCCACCGAAGCGACGCCACAAAAACATGCAAAATGCAAGCATTGAGTACGCACCCAGAGGGTGGACCCATACCTGCGTTGCAATCCAACTACGAACTTTTTAATCGCAACAATAATTCTATACATTACGAGAGCTGGAATTACCGCGGCTGCTGGCACCAGACTTGCCCTCTCGTAGGTACTCGTTAAAATTTCTGGATTGTACTCATTCCAATAATCGATCTCAAAGAGAACGATCTTGTTATTTCTCGTCACTACCTCATCGTTTTGATATTGGGTAATTTTCGCGCCTGCTGCTATCCTTAGACATGGTAGCCGTTTCTAAGGCTCCCTCTCCGGAGTCAAACCCTGATTCTCCGTTACCCGTCAACACCATGGTAGACCAATAAACTACCAACGATAGTTGATAAAGCAGATACTTGAAAGAAACTTCGCCGGTACAAGACCATGCGATATGCAGAATTATCCTGAGTTAGCAAACAGTACGAGACTGGTTTTGCTCCAATAATTGCACCCTAACCGAGCGGCCAGGGCTTGATGCATGTATTGGCTCCAGAATTACCGCAGTTATCCATATAGAAACAAGAACTAGTAAATTATATCTGTTGTAATGAGCCGTTCGCAGTTTCGCTATATAATACTCCACTTAGACATGCATGGCTAAATCTTTGAAAGAAACATATCAGTTCAGCCAGGATCAACCAGATTACCATCGAGATGGAATCAGTATTCGAATATATCATGAAATTTTCAATATGAAAATATCTCAATACACTCACGCCATTAACGTCAGAACCCACAAAGGGTCTTATCAGTAACCACATTCATCAACAAACACTTTCGCATTCACTGTTCACCACCTTTCATTCACTTATATGAAATCACCGCTCTCAAAAACGACAAAAGCAGCGTTTGAGCTGTTCGTCGCCAGTAAAAGCGAGGGTCGTTAGAGGCGCGTTCGCTCGGAATTTCGCCTTTTCGACTCTCCCATTTGCACGGTGGGAACGGATTGTCTATTTTGTCCAGTACTGGTCGTAACCATAAGCTGTGGATTTTTACATTGTAAAATGTTGGAAAAGGTAGTTATAGTAATTTGGGGTAGGTATGGGGTCTCCCCCCGCCCTGCCAGGGCATGGCAAACGAAATACGGCAAGGGGGGACCAAGGTAAAATATGTGGATTTTTACATTCTAAATTGTTGGGAAAGGTAGTTATAGTAATTTGGGGTAGGTATGGGGTCTCCCCCCACCCCTACCCCGCCCAGCCGGGGCATGGCAAAAAAAATACGGTAAGGGGGGACCAAGGTAAAATTCAAAACTTGCGTATAAGCAAAGGAATATAATAATAATATCACTAATAATCATAATAATAACAAATAAACACCCCGCCCAGCCGGGGCATGGCAAAAAATACGGTAAGGGGGGACCAAGGCAAAATTCATACTTGCGTATAAGCAAAGGAATTTCCCTCGGACTTCAAACTTGCGTATAAGCAAAGCAATGTCTTGCTTTTACGCAGGTTTTCAAACTTGCGTATAAGCAAAGCAATGTCTTGCTTTTACGCAAGTCGGACTTGTATTTTTTTCGGCTTTTCAAACTTGCGTATAAGCAAAGCAATGTCTTGCTTTTACGCAGGTTTTCAAACTTGCGTATAAGCAAAGCAATGTCTTGCTTTTACGCAGGTTCGGCTCCGGCTAAAGTGCAAGTTGGCCCGCGCGGCGTTGCTTTTACGCAAGTTTTTCGCTGAAGACTTGAGAGAACTTAAGAAAGTCATAGTTAAGAGAGTCATAGTAGGGGAAATTCCTTTGCTCTTACGCAAGTTTCGTCCTTGAAACAGATACATCCGATCAAAGGATAGTCTCAACAGATCGCAGTGTAATAACTGCTCTGCTGCGTACAACCCCCTGACCAGTAGTCAAGTCGTCTACAAGCGATCTTACACCCTGACAATCAACCACACAAAGTCGTATGGATTCGACAACAAGCCAGTAATTAAACCGACCTGCAAGGTCAAATATAGGGTAAAGGCTGCAACGGCGGCGAGCGCCGAGGCATAAACGTACCACACGAAGCCGGGGTACAAAACATTGTTTACCTAACTAGACGGGCTTCTAACTTAGAGGCATTCAGTTATAATCCCGCAGATGGTAGCTTCGGACCATCGTCCTATCGGACGAGCCCATAAACCAATTGTCTGAACCTGCTGTTCCTCTCGTACTAAGCAAGATTACTATTGCAACAACTCTTTGACAGTAGGATAAAACTAACCTGTCTCACGACGGTCTAAACCCAGCTCACGTTCCCTATTAGTGGGTGAACAATCCAACGCTTTGCGCATTCTGCTACGCAATGATAGGAAGAGCCGACATCGAAGGATCAAAAAGCAACGTCGCTATGGACGCTTGGCTGCCACAAGCCAGTTATCCCTGTGGTAACTTTTCTGACACCTCTTGCTGTAAACTTTACAAATCGAAAGGATCGATAGGCCACGCTTTCGCGGTCTGTATTCGTACTGAAAATCAAGATCAAGTAAGCTTTTGTCCTTTTACTCTACGTAAGGTTTCCGTCCTTACTGAGCTTACCTTAGGACACCTACGTTACTGTTTGATAGATGTACCGCCCCAGTCAAACTCCCCGCCTGACAATGTCATCGGCGCGGGTCGCCGGCGCACCAAGTACGCCGGCTTAAAATCAATCACAAGTTTTCAGAGAAAACGTTCCCCGTATTACCGAATAAGTAAGGAAACGATGAAAGTAGTGGTATTTCACTGACGTGCCGAAACACTCCCACTTATACTACACCATGCATGATTCTTCACAAAGTCAGACTAGAGTCAAGCTCAACAGGGTCTTCTTTCCCCGCTGTCTTTGCCAAGCCCGTTCCCTTGGCTGTGGTTTCGCTAGATAGTAGTTAGGGACAGTGGGAATCTCGTTAATCCATTCATACGCGTCACTTCAGTTTCGCAGCAACGTCCGCACAATGTGCAAACCTCTCACGTTGCACCCGCCCCATCTTCCAGGTTTTACCCTGGTGAATGGATAAGAAGACATCCCATCTCATTATATGCGAACTGACATTGACGCCCCTGGGTCAGTGGTCTTCAGCTGATATCTCTATCATATTCACTGTGTTCCACTCACCCAGGGTTTGCCCACCTCTTTGCTGACTTTAGGCTGTGCCTTATAGGCCTTTAGTCATTTGCTTACTCAACTAGTGTTTTCTCAGCATTGCAAAGTAGGTACGAATAATGTAGTCTGTTCCCAGCACGACTGACCGCTGTATCCTCTCAACAATCTTTGACACATTAGACTGTTGGAGCAGCATACGCAGGTGGGGAACAAACTCATTGTGAATATGGCCTGTTGGTGTAATGACCAAAGGTAAGACTTTTACACCATTTACGTACTGCGGGTACATCACTCGCAGTTCATTCGCCAAATTCACCCCTGGTGGATACGGGCAGTGCTCGCTGTACTCGTGATTCGAGTTTACAGCATATCGACAGTACTTATTCTCGTACATTTTCTGCACTATTGTGAACCAGGACACACTGACCTCAACGATGAATATTTCCTTTCGTTGTTTGTCAAACACGACCAGATCGGGGCGGCAATGCTTTGGACGATTCGGCGTTACGACATCTATGTCATACCTTATCTCCAATCTGTTTCCAATTGCCAACCCATCGATCTGTTGCGTATAGTGGAACCTTGGTAGGCTTTCGTCTACCTCGGTAAGAGCAGAGTACAACCATCTAGTTGCACCGTCATGCCTCGTTTTCATTATTGTCTCACGGAGCCTTTCACAGCCACTCGTGATATGGATAATGTCGGCATTACGATTACCACATGCCCTACACTTTTCCAGCACATTATGTGGGTTTACTCCCTCTAGGAGAGTGCCCTCTATCACACTATTAATATGCTGGTACGCTTTACCATTGATCCAGCCTTTCTCTAACCAGAGATGGGAGTTTTCCTGGTCAATGGCAGACGATTCCGCGTTCACAAAGCGACCGGCTCTTGGCATGGCCCGAAGGTCACGGAGGTAATTTTCCTCGATTTTCGTATCGATGGCTAGTACGAGCTTTCGCGCTAAAGCCTTAGGATCATTACCCCACGGCGGTTCTATGACCTGCCGTCCAATCTCCAGTTCACCCAGAACGTACAGCAAGTGCTTGTAAACTTGGTTTTTAGCGGCTAGGGTGCCGTACACAAAGTGCTCTTGCGCCCTCTTGACCCATGGGTCTCCGCTGGTAAGGAGATATGCCGACGAGTACGCTACTGCTGCACAGTAGGTTCTAAACATCGAAGGCCACTCCAAACCCCCTCGTTTACAGCTGAGGTATATTCGCGGATTCGCACAACTATGATGAAGCAGACCTTTTCTCCGGATCTTCTCTCGAATCACCATGTCTAGCTTCAACATGTCGGCTTTGGCCGAGTTTGGCTGCTTATCACCCAGTATTATATTACCGAGGATAAATGCCGCGCCCGGGAACGCCACTGTACGAATCGCTATCCGCCGTTGGCCGACTGTATGACCTTCTACATCAAGTATACTCTGTACTTTTGCTAATATAGTGGTCTGCATTCGACTATAGGCAGAAGCCTCATTTGCCACAAACCCGCTCTCGATACCCAAGTACTTATACTGATCTTTCACTCCCAATAAAGGAAGCGAGGACCTCAATGTTCTTGATGGGCCGGCGGCTGCAGCACTCTTGCTTTCGTTTACACATAGTCCTATCTGCGAGAACAGTTCAGGCACTAACCTTTCGGCTCTTACCTGAGCTGCCTCACCTGTGCAATACACTTTTAAATCATCCATATAAAACAAATGGCTGACGTGTACTTGCCCACCATCGCTATGCCCTGCTACTTGACGTATACAAGGTCCGGGGTTTCTCAACCTCAGAGCGTGGGATATGGGAGCTATGCATAAACAGAACCATGTAGGGGACAAGGAGTCACCCTGAAGCAATCCCCTCTTCACTCGGAGCGGGGCGCTTCTTTCTACACGGCCGGATCGTCTAAGCTCATATCGGACAGTCCAATTCATCGTAAAAGACTTCAACAGGTAGTAGATCTTTCGGTCTACACCCGCGACATCTAATACTCTGAACATATGGTCACGACTAACCGAGTCGAAGGCCTTCTTACAGTCGTAGAACAGGACCCTTAGATCCGCGTTCTGGCCTTTCGACATCGCTGCCGTTCCCGTTACCAGCCTGTCAACGATACTTGCATGCGTACATCCCCATACACCTTTACGGTTTGCGACTTGCTCGCTAGGGATTAACGTAGGGCAAGCAGTTACTTGCTCTCTGATGGCACGTTCTATTACCGACGTCATAAGTTTATAGCATGTGTTTAAACACGCGATGGGTCTATAATTAGCGGGGTCGTTTGGGTCACCCTTCTTCATCAAAAGGACGACACGACCCTCACTTAACCATCTCGGCGTATCTATTCGACTACACGCTAACTTCTTAATCAGCCAGGTGCACAACCAATTGCTCGCATTGGGGAGGCATTTCCATACACACCCCGGTAGGCCGTCTGGGCCTGCAGCTTTGTTTGGTTTGCACTTAGACAGTGCCATCTTCCACCATACTTGGATCTTGGAAGGCGTGGCAGTTTGCACCGGCACTTCGAGGTCATGAGCCCAATCAGCAGTGATCGAACGACTGTCGGAACGGTCGTCGGCCCCCACCAATTCAGCCCAATACTCTTTCACTCGGTTTGCATCCAGCTGTGGTTCCACTTCCGGACCCTTCTCAAGATATCGCCTTAGAGGTACAAACTTTGCCCTCTTGCGCTCTCGATCAGCCTTCCGCTTAGCCACGCTCTTCCTGACCCCCGCTAGGGCATCCCTCAACATGGATCGCAGCTCTTTCAGTCTGCCAGTGTCGGCAATTCTCTCTCGGCCATATCTAGTCTTAAGCTGACGAGAACACCAACGCTGATGGGTAGTCTGGCGGGCCGAGACTCGTCTACGGGCCAGCTCCACATCTATCCAGTTGAGGTAGCGCAACAGGCTATTCGTCTCCACCTCTCTAGCTGCGAACCAATTCCGCTCTCGTTCCAGGCATAGCCTGTCTTTCTCTTTCAAGAAATGCTGAACAGTACATGCGGCGGCATAAGCAAGCTTGTTAAGGTCATGGAGCGAAATCGCAACACCCGATCTAAGCACATCTCCAATTAAGGAGTTGGCTTGTGTCCAGAGTGTTCCCGGCACTTTTCTGGGGAACTTCAGGGGCTTTCGCCACGTGGAGTTCCTTTCCATAAAGACTTTACGATAGTGGTTGAACTGTTGACGGAATCTCTCCTCGACAACAACACTACCGTCTTCCGGGCTGCTAGCTTCCGTGTCGTCCACTACGTGGACTCTCTCTGCTTCCGCCGGAGCGTCAGCAGGTGTGCCGCTACTTTGCCCTAATTCCTCCGATCTCTCGTTGGTTTCAGGCATTTCGCTTTCGTGGACATCGCTACCTACTCCAGCTAAACCCACCCTAGGCCATACACGCCTATCTGAATTCTTCAGCTCAACGGGGAGTCGGTTGACTAGTTTGCTTTTTACAGCACCCGCTTCCCGTTGGGGTAGATCTAACTGATATATTCGGTTTACTAAGAGCCTCACCCTCTCGTACTGCTCTGCGAGGCGGATCCAATATTGGTCTCCGCCGAGCCTCCGTAGACGGGTGGGATCAACCACAGCTCTTAGCGCTTTGTCCTCCTGGATCAATCTGATTGTCTCGTCTTGAGACCAGAAAGCCCGTTTACCAGTATTCCTGGCAGATTGTGCTTCCGACCGTGTTTCCACCGTCATCGGCTCGTTAGCCTCAGCATTACCATTGTTCCTCTCGGGACTCTCACTCGGTATGCCAGAGACACCGGGGGCGTTGGGATCGGCCGGAGCCTCACCTTCCCGCACCCCGTACTCACTACCTCTCCTCTCGGTCGAGATAGCAAGGTTGCCTTGCGACTCAAGTAACATCATATCTAAGGGGCATTCATCTGCAGCATCCTGCCGCGGATCCCTTGAGTCGGCGGAAGTCCGCGTGACCCTGCAAGGACGCCTCGTTATCTTACTTGGAGCCCATTCATGTTGGGTGTAATAGCCAGGCTAAAGCCATTATCCCAGGGTATTTTAAGTGGGTGCTTTATGACCCCCCGCAGAGTACCCATCTCTTAGGTCTTTGATAGGCTATTTTGCCTCTCTTCTACAACGCATTTCAGTAGCCACGCCCAAATACCCGGGGGAGCGCGCTGATTGGGTGGCTGTGCCCACAAGCCACGCCCCTTTCCCCGAGTTTTGGCTCGTCTCCGAGTTTTCAGCGTTTAGCTCCCGTCACCGTGTAGCCTAATTGGTTACACGGCGGCCTTGTATTCGTGATCTCCCGAGTTCGATTCCCGGTGCCCGGGCCATATTTCTAACGATCTTTACTTTCAGCCAAGAAAATGTCCGAGCGTGCAGGCAGTTCAAAAACCACCGCCACCAAGAAAATCACCAAGTCCAAGCCTGCCACCCGCTCCAAGGTCGGCGTAATTTCGACTATAGCCGCTGCCTTGACCGCCCAGGGTGCGAACGACAAAGAGCTCACCCCTGAAGCCTACAAGCTATTACATGGGTTATGCCGGGCCAAGCAGGATTGTACCAGTAATACCCCCAATATCAACTCTTCCATCACGTCTATCATTCAACTCAACTCTCGTATGCAGGTGATGGAGTCGTGGAAGAAAAACCATGTCAAAGCCAAGCTGCTCAAGATCGACCACCTCTGGGATGCATACAGCCGACAGCATCCAGCTGATGCCCAAGCCGCCGAAGCCAGCATTGACTCATTCTGCCAATCCACCCGCGCAAAACGCCAGGCAAGACGCAATCGTCAAGTGAATGAGGAGGTGGTTGGTGAGATGGAGGTAGGAGGCAATGACGAGGAGGATGAACTCCCTCAAGAAGAGCCGCCACGTGCCAGTGGAGTCAAAACCAGAGGAAAGCCCAAGTCCAAGTCCAGCGCAGGATCATCTTCCAAGTAGAAAATATAATCCTGTCATGTAAGGTTGTTATCAAAAAAAAAAAGAAAAATAAATAAAATTTTTCCTCTTTATATGACCACCCGACACGATGCATTTTACCTCTACTACAAGTACTTCACTGCACACGCTTCCATGCCCATTGGCCTCTTGACTTGGTTTTAGGGTTTGACCCCCCGACCTTCACAGGTCCTCAAGAGGCTTGTCTTTCAGCAGCAGTTCCATACATGCGTTATCTCCCACTTCGTCCCGTCTTGGACTCTTACTTTGATGCAAGCAAACCCCGACTTGACATCAATCACCGTTCGTGCATTAACCCCGGATGCACTTCTCGACATTTCTCGGTACTTTCACGACAAGAGGCTACCCGCTGAAGCTATTTCATCTAACCTGCTATAACACCGGTGCAACCCAGTAGTAGGCGCAGTTTTTACATTGCACTTTTCCTGGGCGCGTACTTGTGCGCAGTAGTGATTTTCAAGTTAGCGACAGTAGGTTATGAAGTCGGATCATCTGTTGGGTTTATCTAACCTGTAGCATCGCTGGCTACCCCCGGTTAGTAATCTCCAACATTCCTCCTCCTTCAATTCTAACACTTGCATTAAGGTATGACACCACGATCATTAGTGAACCATCATTGTCGAACGTTACTTACCAGACTATAGTCGTGTAAGTCGCCTAGCGCCGATTTATCATGATCTCCGGCATACCTTTTGGCTCGCGTTAGAGTAATAGAGGCTTGTTAGTTTTCAGAGTTTTAGCCGATTGTTACATCGCCCGCCGGTCACCACGTGGAGGTAACTCTGTGGGACTAAGGCCCAAGGAGGTTGGGGAAGATCCTTTGCTTTTACGCAAGTTTGTACCCTCGAACTTCGAAAAATATTCTAAGTCCGGGGAAACTGCTTTGCTCTTACGCAAGTTTCTGTCCCCAAAACTCAGCATACTCCCCATTTACTCTGAACACCTCACAAACAGCAAGGCTATCCGTCCAAAGTAACACCCCGACATTCAACCACACACAATCGTATGGATTCGACAACAAGCCAGTAATTAAACCAACCTGCAAGGTCATGAAAGGGGTAAAGGCTGCAATGACACGTAGTCAAGGCATATATGCTTACCATTCGGCTCGCATATTTCGCGGCTGCTGTCTGCCGCAGTTTGGTCCGTGTTATCATAAGTATGCCGAGCTGATCTCCCAGACCAGCATTCATACGCGTCACTAATTAAATGACGAGGCATTTGGCTACCTTAAGAGAGTCATAGTTACTCCCGCCGTTTACCCGCGCTTACTCAAATTTCCTTAAATTAACATTCAGAGCACTGGGCAGAAATCAGAGACAGTCAACGTCTTTCAGAGACCATCTGTCTCCTCTGTTTTAATTAGACAGTCGGATTCCCCCAGTCCGTACCAGTTCTAGATTCGATTGTTAAGCGCTAGCCGAAGACTACGCACGCCGAAACGAACGCAGACCAAGCTGAAACGATCCACCTACGGGCCACGCTACTAGCCCGAACAGCTCACCGAAGCTCGCCGCCCAGTCACGAACGCAGCCCATAAGCATCACGTAACAACCCGACTAGCCCAATCTCTAGAGCCAATTCTTTTCCCGAAGTTACGAATCTAATTTGCCGACTTCCCTTATCTACATTATTCCATCAACTAGAGGCTGCACACCTTGGAGACCTGCTGCGGATATTGGTACGATCGTGCGAGAAATTCATTAAGCTTCCCTTACCTTTTCAAGGGCCACATGGAGTGCACGGGACACCGCAGCAACCGCAGTGCTCTACAGCCTCAGCAACCATATCTCCGGATGAACCGATTCCATGGTCATGAAAGCTTAAACTAGAAAAGAGATCTCTAGCCCGGACTCCAAGCAGCGTCGGCAAGTTCATTTGCGTTACCGCGCTTCGACAACACCGAAGTGAAGCCAATCTCCTCGTCACGACGCGGGAATATTAACCCGCTTCCCTTTCGGCGAATGCAGCGCAATCCACAAGTGAATTTAACGCCACAACTTCAAATCCAGCATTAGCCTGTGCCTTAGGATCGGCTAACCCACGTACAATCACTGTGCACGCGGAACCCTTCTCCACTTCAGTCTTCAAGGATCTCACTTGAATATTTGCTACTACAACCAAGATCTGCACTCATAACGGCTCCATTCGGGCTCACGCCCAACAACTTCAACGCCATTACAACGTACCTCCTACTCGTCGAGAGATTGCTCGGGTCTCAACGACGGCAGAGTATAGGTCATTCGCTCGAGCGCCATCCATTTTCAGGGCTAGTTGATTCGGCAGGTGAGTTGTTACACACTCCTTAGCGGATTCCGACTTCCATGGCCACCGTCCTGCTGTCTATATCAACCAACACCTTTCATGGGGTCTCATGAGCGAATAGTTAGGCACCGTAACTCCGCGTTTGGTTCATCCCACATCGCCAGTTCTGCTTACCAAAAATGGCCCACTTGGAGCACAACAATCAAAGTCAGTGTTCAATTAAGCAACACCAACATCATAACCATTTAGAGTTTGAGAATAGTCTGAGAATAATACATCCCAAGAACTCTAATCGTTCGCTTTACCGAGTATATCTGTTTGAATGTGCACCAGCTATCCTGAGGGAAACTTCGGAGGAAACCAGCTACCAGATGGTTCGATTAGTCTTGCGCCCCTATACCAAAATCAGACGATCGATTTGCACGTCAGAACCGCTTCGGACTTCCACCAGAGTTTCCTCTGGCTTCGTCCTGTTCAGGCATAGTTCACCATCTTTCGGGTCTCATAGCATACGCTCAACCTCCGCATCAGGACAAGTCCTCGAAACGGGGCAACGTTGCTTGGGCCGCACGAATGCCGCACCCAGTCACGTTCAGACAAGTAATGTCTCACTTTCATTACGCCTTTAGGCTTCGACAAACCCAATGACTTGCGCATACCATAAACTCCTTGGTCCGTGTTTCAAGACGGGTCGAATGGGTCACCGACTGAACACCGGGAAGAACGCAGAGCACACCACAACACCGACCGACCCCATAAGGGCTGCACACATGTGTACCACCCGAACCGAGCCTGTCGACACCGCGGCACGCGAAAAACCCACGTCTCCACAAAGCTGCGCAGCGCCAACCGAACTCCACACGCCCAGGGTTCCCAGCGCCGAAGCCCGGGTCCTCTAAACGCGCATCGTCCGACAACACCACACAACCCGGCGCACTCCGTACGCAAATGCACCAACCGAACACGCGACAATAGCGCCAGGCACACCTTGCGGCAATGCACAAACACCAATCACGCGCCCAGAAGGCTGAATACGCACTAGATACGTCGGCTCCATTCGCTTCCATTACACCGGTTTCACGTTCTCTTGCACTCTCTTTTCAAAGTACTTTTCAACTTTCCCTCACGGTACTTGTTTTCTATCGGTCTCGCGGTCGTATTTAGCCTTAGGTGAAGTTTACCACCAACTTTGGGCTGCGTTTCCAAACAACCCGACTCCCAGAACCAACACTCACCAAGTCCAGCCAGGTTTACCGGGGTAAAACCGTCTTAGCCGCCGCGTTCCAACGAGACTTAAGCCAGCCTGAACAAGCCGAACGAAGGTTCTATACGCTACACCGGTCATCAGCCAGAAGCCAACAACCTTTAGCGCTGGGCTCTTCCCGTTTCACTCGCAGTTACTCAGGGAATCCATGTTTGTTTCTTTTCCTCTGCTTACTGATATGCTTAAGTTCAGCAGGTAGTCATACCCAACTCAGGTGGTTTCAACCAATTCCGACAACACTGCCCGCAAGGCTTCACGACGAAGCTCAACAAACCGCAGCCAGGACTCCAAACATTCTCATCCGAACGTCCCTGACGGCCGCGCCGTTGAAACAACATCACCAAACGGTTTAGCCGCGCACGACAATCGAGCACGAAGCCCTCTCGCCCCGCACGGACAAACAGTGCGTAGAAGATATTGGTCGCGGAACAAACCGCGTAAAACAGATGGTGCCTAACATTGCGCGAACAATGCGAGACGACTGTCACAACGTGCAGAAACTTGAAAAAAACAAGTCGGCGTTTCTGCTCGAGTTTAAAAACACACCCTGAATCGAATATGCTCAAGAGCAAAGCCCAAGAGCGCAATATGCATTCAAAAACATGGTACTCATAATATCTGTAATTCGTACTTATTATCGCAATTCACTGCGTTCTTCATCGACCCGCGAGCCAAGTGATCCACCGGAGTAACTTAAAGCTCTTTTCCAACAAAATAAATGTAAAATGAATGTTTTGTCAGGGCAGCCTCTCGGGCTTTTCAATCCTACGCTCGCCAGAACGAATCGGCAAGCAGCTGGCTGGTCTCATCTGTCGGCACGGTAAAACGCCAACTCAACAACAGCACGTAGAAACCCAGACTTCACCGTTGCACGGTCGCCTCTCGGCTTCCATGCGAACCATCAGTAGGCGGAACGACGCGAATCGAACCGCCATCATGCGCGGCAACCGAAGTCACCAATCGCATCATCGTGACGAGCACGAATAAATGTGTCATAGGATCGGTAATGATCCAGCCGAAGGTTCACCTACGGCTACCTTGTTACGACTTTTGCCCGGTTCAAGCCACTGCGATTAAACTAGTTCTCACCAAAGACAATGCCGAAACATCGAACTCCAGCGATCCCTAGTTTTCTCGAAGTAACTCAGTCCCGGGCAGCGACGGGCGGTGTGTACAAAGGGCAGGGACGTAATCAATGCAAGTTAATGACTCACATTTACTTGGAATTCCTCGTTCATGAGAGAAAATTTCAACACTCAATTCCAGCCATAATAATATCTCAACTGTTTGCCAATTCCTGTCGGAAAAGGACAATCACGCTGTTACCACCATTGTAGCACGCGTGCGGCCCCGAACATCTAAGGGCATCACAGACCTGTTATTGCTCAATTTCTTGAGGTTGAAAACCACAAATTCCTTTAAGAAGTGATCACACGCAGCCGAAGCAACATGCGCACTATTTAATAGTTAAAGTCTCGTTCGTTATCGGAATAAACCAGACAAATCAATCCACGAACTAAGAACGGCCATGCACCACCATTCACCGAATCATGAAAGAGCTGTCAGTCTGTCAATCCTTACGATGTACTGGCCGGGTGAGATTTCCCGTGTTGAGTCAAATTAAGCCGCAAGCTCCACTCCTGGTGGTGCCCTTCCGTCAATTCCTTTAAGTTTCAGCTTTGCAACCATACTTCCCCCGAAACCGAAAAACTTTCGTTTCCGGAAATCTCCCCGCTCATGAATAAAATCCACAAGCGGATCGACAGTTGGCATCGTTTACGGTCAGAACTAGAGCGGTATCTAATCGCCTTCGAACCTCTGACTTTCGTTCTTGATTAATGAAAACACTCTTGGCAAATGCCTTCGCTGTAGGACGTCTCGCTACGGTCCACGAATTTCACCTCTCGCGCAGCGATACGAATGCCCCCGGCTGTTCCTGTTAACCATTGTTTTAGCCGACAAAACCAATAAAACTCAGCCACAACCTTGTTCCATTATTCCATGCACCGGTATTCAGTCATAAGACTTGCTTTAAGCACTTGAGCCGTTCAAAGTAATCCTGCATGCATCATGAACGCCACCGAAGCGACGCCACAAAAACATGCAAAATGCAAGCATTGAGTACGCACCCAGAGGGTGGACCCATACCTGCGTTGCAATCCAACTACGAACTTTTTAATCGCAACAATAATTCTATACATTACGAGAGCTGGAATTACCGCGGCTGCTGGCACCAGACTTGCCCTCTCGTAGGTACTCGTTAAAATTTCTGGATTGTACTCATTCCAATAATCGATCTCAAAGAGAACGATCTTGTTATTTCTCGTCACTACCTCATCGTTTTGATATTGGGTAATTTTCGCGCCTGCTGCTATCCTTAGACATGGTAGCCGTTTCTAAGGCTCCCTCTCCGGAGTCAAACCCTGATTCTCCGTTACCCGTCAACACCATGGTAGACCAATAAACTACCAACGATAGTTGATAAAGCAGATACTTGAAAGAAACTTCGCCGGTACAAGACCATGCGATATGCAGAATTATCCTGAGTTAGCAAACAGTACGAGACTGGTTTTGCTCCAATAATTGCACCCTAACCGAGCGGCCAGGGCTTGATGCATGTATTGGCTCCAGAATTACCGCAGTTATCCATATAGAAACAAGAACTAGTAAATTATATCTGTTGTAATGAGCCGTTCGCAGTTTCGCTATATAATACTCCACTTAGACATGCATGGCTAAATCTTTGAAAGAAACATATCAGTTCAGCCAGGATCAACCAGATTACCATCGAGATGGAATCAGTATTCGAATATATCATGAAATTTTCAATATGAAAATATCTCAATACACTCACGCCATTAACGTCAGAACCCACAAAGGGTCTTATCAGTAACCACATTCATCAACAAACACTTTCGCATTCACTGTTCACCACCTTTCATTCACTTATATGAAATCACCGCTCTCAAAAACGACAAAAGCAGCGTTTGAGCTGTTCGTCGCCAGTAAAAGCGAGGGTCGTTAGAGGCGCGTTCGCTCGGAATTTCGCCTTTTCGACTCTCCCATTTGCACGGTGGGAACGGATTGTCTATTTTGTCCAGTACTGGTCGTAACCATAAGCTGTGGATTTTTACATTGTAAAATGTTGGAAAAGGTAGTTATAGTAATTTGGGGTAGGTATGGGGTCTCCCCCCGCCCTGCCAGGGCATGGCAAACGAAATACGGCAAGGGGGGACCAAGGTAAAATATGTGGATTTTTACATTCTAAATTGTTGGGAAAGGTAGTTATAGTAATTTGGGGTAGGTATGGGGTCTCCCCCACCCCTACCCCGCCCAGCCGGGGCATGGCAAAAAAAATACGGTAAGGGGGGACCAAGGTAAAATTCAAAACTTGCGTATAAGCAAAGGAATATA